TTGTCCTTAATTGTTTTGTCCAATCTAATCAGTTAGTATTGTCTCATCTAATCTAGTCTTGTTTTTAGTTGCTTTGTCTTATATAATTTGTTATCTTTTTAATTATTCATTTGTTAATAAATGACATTTTCATGTAGAAATTTGCTCACTCAAAAGACTTATGTTCATAATACAAGATATCCTAAGGCATCAATTGTTGAGGGATATTTAGGAGAAGAGCGTGCAACATTTTTTTCAACATACTTCGAAAAAGTGGAGATGAGGTTGAATTGACCTGCTAAGAATCTAAACAATAAGTCTAATCTGTCCGATTACCTTTTCTCAACAACGAAGAAAAGAATTGGTAAGGTGGAGATTGTTATTTTGGATGACAAAACATGGGCACAAGCACATTGACATGTGCTTTTCCATCATGCTGAAGTGCGACCATATTGCAAGTAAGCCATTTTTAACAAAAATAAAATTTTATTTGTTTTTGTTAAATATGTTAGTCTTGACTAAAAGATTGGTTATTTGTAAAATAGCATATTCTTGTCTGAATTCAAAAGAAAGAATCATCATCATAAAAGGTATACAAGGATAAACTTGAATAAATTCATGAATGACAATTTTATGAATGGTTCCAAATGGAGGTAAGAAATGGTTTCAAATAGATATTTGCTTCTTTTGTCCTGTAACTTTTTTTTGTCCTTTTCCTTATCAAGCCAACCCTCTTCAAGCTAGCAATCTTATTCCAACCACCCTTTAAGCCAAATGTAGTAATCTTGTGTTAATTATTTTGGTTTTTGAATGCAATTGCTTAAGATTAATTAGTGTCATAGATGTTTTGGTGACAATTTGGTAAGAAATGGTTTGAAGTAATTGAAGGTAATAAAACTTCTTTACTTAGTGACAATCAATGTCATATGTATGAATTGATAAATATTTTGAATATAAAGATGAATAAATTTTTATTGTTTTATGATTGATTTTAAGAATGAATTTTTCTGAGTTTGCAGTAGGGGTGGGCATTCAGGTGGGTAACTGAATGGCTACCTAGAAATCAAATCAAAAAAATGAATTTGGCTCGGTTTCAATGGTTTTTGGTTTTTAATGTTTCAATTTTGATATTAACCAAATAAATTTTAGTTTGGTTTCGATTGAATCTTTCAAAAACCAAAAATAAAAAATAAACCTCTTGAAAATCAAAATTAAGATAAATATGACAAAATATGATAAAATATGGGATAAAATATGAGATAAAATATAATCTATTATTGAAAAAATAATTGATTAATATTTATTTAGTAAAAATCGAAATCAAACTGATTTTATTGGTAACCAAACCGATTGGTTTGTGAAAATTTTGGTTCCGTTTCAATTCTCAAAATTGAAGAAATTTTTTTTTTTTGTTATTTTAAAATCGATTTTAATTTTAACTGAAATCGATTTTTGTCCACCCCTAGTTTGCAAGAACTTTAAAATGCCTGAAAATAGAGTATGCAGGGTAAAAAAAAGGTGATTTTGGGCATTTATTTGAACACTTATATAGGTCAATTTCAGGCGCTTAAAAATTAGGATTTTCCAACCCTAAGGATGTATACTTCGGGCGCAACTTGGGTGTTTGAAAATAACTTATTTTGCAAGCACTTTAGGACATGCTTGCAAAATTGGTTATTGCAAGGGCTTTATAAAGTGCCTGCAAATTATGTTATTGTAGGCACTTTCTAGTTATCTCAGGTGCTTTACAAGTGCCTACAAATATTGTTATTGCAAGTGCTTTAAAAGTGCCTGCAAATTAGGTAAGGTTTGAGCGCTCCAGTGTTCACCAACCGCAATCTTTCTCGACAGGAGATTTGCAAGCCCCATGCAGGCACTTTCTTGAGCGCTAGCTATGGTTATGCAGGCGCACAAAAGCGCCTGCAATGACCTCATTTATGCACCAGCAAAACCAATAACTTTTGTAGTGTATACTCCATTACCCACATATATCAATGGTTATTTAAAAAAAAA